TTAGTGTGACGACAACAAACTGCCTTTTTTTTTCTGCACATTGTAACTTTCATTTTAAGACAAGCTGTTCAAGAGGTTATATTTGTTAGCAAAGCAATATTTAAATTCTGCTTGTATTGTAAATGCAGGTCGCTATCATCAAACGTACCACAGATTAATGATGTACAACTGTGGGCTAGTCTTGACTGTAATACAGTCTAGTATTAATGACAAAAGAGATCCCTGTGTTAATTACAAACCATAAAGGAATATTATAAATCATACAGCGCGCATAAATAGTTTCTTAAGGACACTGGGATATAATGGCCCTTGAGAATAATCCAACCTTTGTTTTGTTGAAAGGTACGAGAAGCTATTTGGATGTCTCTCGGATCACAACTTGTGTGTCACTAGTGCAATGAGGGAAGATCTTTGCAAGAACTGGAATATTGAGTATGTATAGAGTTCATGTTTTGTTTTCATTACTATCAAATAATTAATACTGAATAATTTCGTAAGCTGCGGTCACACTAGAGTTTGTGTGTGCGAAATTCTGTCGTAAGCCTCTGCGAAAAGGGGCGGAATTTAACAAGATTATTATACATTAAAAAAAGTGAGTGATTGCTCTGTTTTAAATTTCTGTACAGAGAGGTCATGTATTGATCTTTGATTGGTCTCACGCAGTCAGGTGTTGCGATTTCGCAGGTCAGAGTTCATCAAGCTTGAACTTTGCACCGCAGCACCCTGCAAAACTTGACGCATGACCCCGTGTTTCCGGTCTGACACATTTGCGTGCGTATGAATGGAAGTCTATGGGAGGAAAAGCCCAGTGTGACCGCAGCTTTAATCAGACGTGCTAATTATTTGTTTTGCAATTATAGGGCAACCACGTTATATGACAAGCCGCCCTCAATATTTCGAGAAACACCTTTGAAACTTCAGCATGAGCTGTTTGTCAGAATGGGCAGTGCTTATCTACCATTTAGGCCTAGGTACCTATTTTCATACCTTTTGTGTTGTAGTATAAAACATTTTTAGAGAATATAAAACCAGTCATTTATGTCTTTGTCATTTTATGTACTAATAAAATATATATATATATATATATATATATATATATATATATATATATATACATATATATATCATTTTATATGAATTATTTCAGTTCTGCTGTCACTAAGGAGTACATGGAACTGACAGCCTTCACAGTGCGTAACACTCAGACAGGAGCCGTGACACGCTCTGCTGGACGACCTGCTCTGCTAATCAGCAGCACCAGCTGGACTGGTCAGTGCCACATACACTGAGCTTGACACTGGCTTCATTCTTTAATTGAAGTGTCCTAACTATTCACTATTTACTTTCTCTAACAGAGGATGAAGACTTCTCAGTTCTGTTACAAGCACTTGAAGGTTATTGATTTTTTTTTATCTATTCAAGAAATTTAGCTTATTTTTAACAGATACTATAAATTAGGCATAATTAATAAAAAAAATCACAAATACAATGTTTGAATTGTGTACATAATTGTTCAATGGTTTGGGAGTCAAAAAGAAAAATATATATATTTTAGCACAGATGCATGGCTTTTTAAAAGTGATGTCAAACAATTAAATCTATCCAATTAATATTGATTTAAATATTTAACTTTATTAAATAATCATACACAACTGTACATTGAACAAAAAATATGTATAAAATAATTTATATGCAGTATCCTGTTTCCTACATATTGAACAGATTAGTTGAATGATTGTGTAACACTGAAGACAACTAATGGCTGCTGAGTGCTGACAATTCAGCTTTGCTATCATATTAATACATTTTAAAGTCATTTTAACTTGTGAAATGATAATTTTTTTTATATTTACATGTTATTTAAATAACATTTTGAGCACACTTTCTCCACTCGTCCAGGATTCTGCTACTAGTACTACATTTATTTTTACACTGGAACCGAATACACTTTGTAATCTCAGTATTTTATTTCTTTCTTTCAACAGAGTATGAGAAATTTGTTGAGACCGAGAACAGACTCCCATCGCTGGTTTGTGTGATTACAGGTACACACTATGAAACTTGTTATACCATTTTGAGGGACGTAAACAATAACAATAATTATTAATAATCCTAATTTGTTTCCTGTATTACATTTTGAATTAAGATATGATTCAATTGCCTGGTTACAGTTAGGAAATAGTTTGGGAACAAGCAGGAAATGTTGATGGACCTGTGACATCGCCACATTGAAATGGTCTATATATATAACGCTTTGATTTGTCAATGCAGGGAAAGGTCCTCAGAAGGAGTATTACAAGAAACTGATTGACTCTAGAGAATTTCATCATGTCAAGATCTGCACTCCATGGCTGGAAGCTGAAGATTATCCTGTTTTACTTGGTGAGAGGATGCAATTAACTGCAAAATCAGGGGGTTCTGTGTGTCTATAAGCCTTAATTTCTACTAATACTTGAGAAGATTTTTAATCACAGCAGTCTTAACTGAAAAAAAATCATGACAATAAATGTTTCCCTCATTCATTATCTTCATTTAATTTGATCTTTGAAGTGCTGGTAATGCAAGTCATTGTGTATCTTGAAGTTAAAATTTAATAACCAAAAAGATTTATTGTTTTCACTTCAAAATGACTTTCATAATCACAGAATATAACCTAGAGTGCCTAAAATGCACATATTTATTGTTGTTGTTATTTGTACTTTATTGTCCCATTTCTAGGTAGTTTAAATATGCATGACATGGCCAAGCAACACATTACAATATAATAAATAAAACATAAAATTTCACATAAAATTTGACAACAGCCTACAATGTTACATCTCTGTTAAGTAATACAAGTCATCGACGATCGTCTTCCTTTAGCTAACATGTTGAAATTATTGTGTAAAATGCTTAGCATGAATTTAGCTTTGCTTACAACAGTTACTTCACATCTCAACTTTTACAGCGGTCTGTACATTTTGATTAGACAGTCAGATTTTCATATCATGCTGTAATATCATATTTTATCAGACTCAAAAAAACAAAAGAAAAACAGACTGGTTGAACAGAAATAAAATCCTCTTATTTACCCCAGATACCTTTCTCTTAAAAAATAAAATATATAGCCTCGTTATCTTGCTATTTTTTTGTGTGTTTTGTTTTGTGCACAGGTTCTGCTGATCTTGGGGTCTGCTTGCACAAATCCTCCAGTGGTCTTGACCTTCCAATGAAAGTGGTCGACATGTTTGGATGTTGCCTGCCAGTCTGTGCCATACACTTTGAGTGGTAAGACTGTGAGATTAGTCTGTATAATAAATGATTAAAAGTCATCTGCTCATTATCTGTATTTTGTTAGCTTGCATGAGTTGGTGAAACATGAGGAAAATGGGCTCATTTTCAAAGACTCCAGTGAGCTGGCTGAACAATTAAAGGTAAGTCATCTGCTAGTAAAAAAAAAAAAGAAAAACTTCCGAAAACAGATGATTTAATATTTAATTTATTTTAAATTCTTCCCAAGTTTGTTCTGGAAGTCTTGATCTATCCAAGATTTAAAAAAAATAAAACACTTTACGTTTCTTCAAATATACACTGCAATAATATTATCTGTGTCTGAAATTGTGATTTAAAGTACAGGGATAACCATTATCACTAATTCATTTGACAATTCATTCATAATAACCATATATCTGTGTACATGCCTTAAGTGGCAAAAAATGCATTCTGTGCCTTTAAGATTTCTATATCCCTGTTTATTGTGATTACAATTGGCCTACCCCAAATAGCCAAATGCAATGATGGTTACTTATAAGTGTGATCAAAATATTGTTTACATGAGGTGAAATTTAATCACAATATTGCCAAAGTCCCTTTATAATCTCATTATGAGGATGCATGCAAGCGTATGTTTTAATGATGCCATTGGTTTTACTCTATCAATTGAAGCTAGGGTTCTCATCCTTTTTATAGTGACGAGTGAACAGCATCATCGCAACATAAGAAATACTCTACCAGGCCTCAGTTAAAACTGCTCTGTTTGAGTGAACGATCCATGTGGTGTGCAGAAAATAACAGTGTAATAACTTATGCTCAGATTATTTTAAATGGATAGTTCACCTCAAAAACATGAATTTCCTCACCATTTACTTCTCTTGAACATAAAACAAGAAATTGTGGCAAATGTAAAAAAAACAACAAAAAAAAAACAAAAAACAGCCATTGACATCCATAGTAGGAACAAAAAAACATGATGGAATGGCTAATTTTTTTTTTTGTTTCGCACCATTCTTCAGGATATCTTTCTGTTCTCAACACAAAAAAAGACTTAAACATTTTGTATGTACAACCTGATCATGTCTATTTTTGAAATGGTAATTATTTCTTTCGTTTACAAATGAATTCGCTTCACATTATTTGTTGTTCTACATTCATCCCATTACATTTGCCATTTATTGTACAGATTTAAAACCGGTTTAAAATCAGACACCGGAATTTTACATTCAGTTATCTCATTTATTTCATATGAATTCCATATGACCAGGTAGCCAGCAAAAAAATTATATCGAAGTCTTTTTGTTTTATGTCCACTTTTTTCTGTTATGCTAAAGGAAAATGTATTGTAAAGCTTATGAATCTCCTATTAAAGTTAACTTGACAAGCGTTCACAGCTAATTCTTGCAACCTCTTTAGCTTCTGTTTTTAGATTTCCCTGGTGATCAGGGGAAACTGGGCATCTTCAGGAAGAATCTACAGGAAAGCAGGCAGCAGCGATGGGATGAGAACTGGGACCAAAACGTTCTGCCACTTATTAAAGAGCACTGTGACTGACCGTCAAAACCGATGGGATTCTGTAGCATGCTCCCAAATCCTTTGACAAACATTCACTAGAAAGTTACTGTCAGGTATTCGCACAGGGTACATTTTTAAGCTAACTGTCCCCACGTCGGGACAATCAGCATTCCAGCAACGCCAATGGGAAAGACTTGAATAAGAGAATAATAAGCACACTGTCACTGTAAATATTATGTAAATAAATACTTTATTACAAAGGAATTGATTTTGTCATACATATATTTTGATCATTTCTATAGTGGAGGCTCGGTTGTATGGAAACACTTGAGTAACAGAATCTTTCATGATGACATGTCTCAGTCCAGCCCTTTCTGCATATAAATAAAAGAATTAGGTTTTAATCAATAGTGCAATTGATGAGAATATACTGTATATTAATAACATAAAACCTACCTAATTCTTTCTTAAAGCACTCGTATGTCTGTGGGTTGCGTACAGTAGATGCAACGTAAACATCAGGATGGTTTTCTTCAACCTTACAGTTCAGAAGTCGGCTCAGAAGTCTCACCAAACACGCAATTATATCAGGATCATACACCACATCTGCCCCAAACAAATACGGTAATGTTACAAAAAACATAACTCTGTACAAAACTAGACATGATTCATTAAAATTCAATTAAAATTTATATAAATCATAATTGAATCTTCATTGTTTGTAATACAGAAGATATTCCTGGGATTTGTGTCACCTGCAGCGATGATTGTGTTGGCCTGTATTCTTTGCAGCTGCTCATCTGACACGTTTTCCCAGTCCAGTTCCTCCACACTGACGCCGTCACAGTTAGCTAAGCAGTTTGTGATGTTGTCCTTCAGCCTCTGGAGCACAGTTTGATGGCAGTCGCTGAAGATGTATTTGGTTAGGCTGCAGGACCGACACAATACAATGCCAGTAAGTCCAATTCCACTACCCAGTTCCAGCACTGTCCTGTATCATCAATGTACAAAAACACAAATATACATTTTTTTGTATAGCTGCATGTTAATGAAATATTTTAAATTCAAGCGATTAGCAAAATTAGAAAAAGAACATTGCATCTGAAAGTTCTAAATTACTGCAACGTTCTGAAGTAGGAAGGCATTAAGTTTCCTGAGAGACCTTCTTCCGATTTAATTTAATGGTAGATGTCCTACACTGCCTTTTATAGCCCCTAATCCTGTTACATTTCTAATATTTGCACTATAACAGTAAACAAGGTATGTCAACGCACTGCTTAAGTGTGTAAATTTATGTTTTTGCTACTATTTTCCACTTTTTAATAGCATTTATAGCAAGAAGTTAGTATTCTAGTAGGCAAATACTGTACTTCCTTATTCCTCAGTCACACTAAGTTTGGGCAGGTGAACTCTTTTGTATGGGGCTGTGAAAAGAAGTGGGATTAAACAAGATGATTAGACATTTTAAAAAAGCAAACGATTGGTCCATATTTTACATTTCTGTACAGAGAGGTCATGTTTTGATCTTTGATTGGTTTCACGCAGTCATGTGATGCAATTTTGCAGGTCAGAGTTCACCATGCTTGAACTTTGCAACACAGCGAACTGTGAAATCTGTCGCTTGAGCTTGTGTTTCCAGTCTGTCGCATTGGCATGTGTATGAATAAAAGTCTATGGGGCGAAAAGTGCAGTGACCTCAGCTTTAGTTATCGCCAAAGTACTCCTTTCTTGTAATTGATTTGTACATGATCAAATTGTTAGACTGCCTCCAGATTCACTGCATGATAGGATAGCGAGTCCTAGCGGGGCAACAAGGTTTCAGACCTAACCAAGATAATAAATACATTTCAATTGATATCAAGTAGCGGTGTATGCATTAATCATTTGTACATTACAGTTCAGATGTTTGGGTTTAATTTTATTAGTTTTTAAGTTGCTTTAATTTGTTTATTCAAAATACAGTAATTGCTCTATAGCCCGTTTTGTTTTTTTAACATTATTACTACAGTTTTAAGTCACACATGAGCTTTAAGAACTCATTTGTCTGCTGTGTGGAAACATCTTACTTTAACAGCTTAAGTGACTTAATTTTTGTGGAAACTGCAGTAAAAAAATAATAAAAAAAATAATAAATATATATATATATATATATATATATATATATATATATATATATATATATATATATATATATATATATATATATATATATATATGTTTTTACTCTCACTTTTTATATACATTTCTGAACACAAAGCTCATAGGTAAAATGCTAAATGGTTGTGAGGTGTCAGTCGTACTTGTTTTTGAAGATGTGTGCATTTTCCAGAGTCCATTCAGCAAGGTAAAGGGCAGCTTCCCAGGTGACCAGACCTGTGGTGCCCTGAGAGATGAGGGCCACATTCTCTGCTAGACTAACAGCATCTCCTGTTGGCTGTTGAGAATTTTTTAAAACGTGTATATATGTTAAAGATAAAGTAAGTTCAGGTGGTTATTATCGCAGAATAATGCCTGACAGGCTTATCGTTGTGTAAAACTGAAGGGTTTATCCTGTGAAAACAACCGTCCTGCATGTTCATCATAAAATTTGTTACTCAAATACTTGCCACACAATATGAAAAAATGTACACAAAATATTGTTCTGAGCTGTAATAGTCTATTAATTATTTAATTAAACCAGTGCTAATGTGATCTAACTTACTAGTAAGTAGGTTTTGAAGCACAAGTCCTCCTCCTGAGCACACATGACCTCACCGAGAGCCTCATACAGTATATCCAGAGGTTCAGCAGAGAGCTTTTCTTGCTACATAAAAATAAGTCATGACAATAAGGGGGGAAACCTGTACACAATTTTATCTCTGTAAATGAAACTTACCCTTTTAATCAGTTCCGTCAGGAAACGTCTTCTGTATTTTAAAGAGGGAGGATTCTTGACACAAATGGGATGCAAGCATGTCTGTAAAAAAAGGAAATCTATATAAATAAAATCTAAATGATTTGATTGTTCTATCAAATAACTTACTCAATAGCTTGTTTACCTTATGAAGGATGTCTTCTATAATGTCTGAAGTATTTGAATTTCTAATTTCTTCGTCTAAATGCTGTAAAAATAGTGTGTTATGTTATTTATGGAACTAAAATGTAATCAATATCTTAAATCAACGTTTGAGGAACCAACACTTACATCCCATGGAAATGTATTTAAAAGACTCATCGCGAGGAAGTTTACTTGGAATCTGTGAATGATGTCTTTTCTGGTTTTGTGTTCCATTTCTTCAGCTTCTTGTACTCCCACTGGATTTATATTGCTCTTCTTTTAAAACCGTACCATCATAATAGTTTACACTACGGAAGATGCATGTGTGAATTTCTTCGTGTGTGTCACTCCACATATTATGTGGATGCAGCGCCACCCTCCGGTTTGGTTGTGCATCATCGTCGATTTACGCCCAAGTGGCTCTGCAGTGAGTACCACTTGAATTTATATGACCGTAAAACACAAATTCAGGGCCCACGCTAATCTCTGCAAGTAGATTATGTGTTATAAATGTTGTATACAAGCTTATGATTATGTAATGTGTTCTAAAAAATAAATTTTCAATTGCATTCCATTTTCAAAAAGCTAATTTTTTTCAATATGACCTTTTGCATACTCGTTTGTGAGGTGTGATGAAGATTTTGGCACCCTATAGGACTTAATAAACATGGCCACGCGTCGTTGTTAGTCAGCAAGCCTGTACTATGCATTTTTCTTACTATGTATTAGGATTTCCTAGTACTGGGTTGCAGCTGGAAGGGCATCCGCCATGTAAAACATGCTGGATAAGTTGGCGGTTCATTCCGCTGTGGCGACCCCTAACTAATCTGAAAACAAAATAAATGAATGAATGAAAATATATAGGCATTGTATTTTATTTCAGATGCAGCCATTGCCATTTTAAATGTGCAATATACAGTATTATGTGCATACTTGACAGGGTGATTAGTGTTGGGCGTGGCTAACTGTGGGCGTGGTTTGGAAGACAGCAGGACGCTGACAGACTTCTGGCTGAGCATCTTGGTGATGATGAAGAAAAAATTGCTAATGACAAAACATGTTATTGCCGGTAATAAATTAATAAATTATGTTATTATATTAAACTGTCGAGCAGACAGATGACAAAGCAGACAATATTTATAACTAATGCTTTATAATGCTGTAATTATTTATATATAAATAGCATGCTGTATTCCTTTGTGCTAGGTCATTTTATTTATTTTTTCTTTCATAGTCACTTCCCATATAACTCGATACATAATATAGGGGAGAGTGGGAACGGTTGCAACAGGACTTATTCCTCCATTCAGGAATAAGCTGAGTGATGATACTCATACTAGCCTACATGTTCTCAGTCAGACCCTCTTTGAATCTGAGAGAAGTCAGCCGCATGTGACCATTCCTTCAGTGTAAAAACCCCTTTTGAGGAAAAATGTTATTTTTTTTTTTTAATGTTCAGAAAATTTCTCATGCTGTCTAATCTGTTTGTAAAACATTATTCATTCGTTTATTTTGTAATCAGTCTTTAAATATGTATAGCTATGAAGCGTTAAAGCTATTGTATGTCCCCTAGCAGATTTAAGGTTGACAGAGTTGGGACAATTGTCTCCAATTACAAAATGTATTTAAAAGCTTGGTATTTATTAGTATTTATATATATATATATATATATATATATATATATATATATATATATATATATATATATATATATATATATGTGTGTGTGTGTGTGTGTGTGTGTGTGTGTGTGTGTGTGTGTGTGTGTGTGTGTATTATTTTTAAATTATTTATATTAACAATGTACCATGTTTATTTTTATCACAGTTTTATTGTTGTTTAATTTGAAAGAATGAATGATTTACTAATTAATTTTAAAGTTCAAAGAAGTAGTTTAGTAAAGGTTCAGTTTATTTTCAGTAAAAAAATATATATATTTGTTCAGTTTTTTAGGCCTGATAATTGACTGTTGCTTGGTCTTTAGTCTGTATTTTGTTACAATTGTTACAAAAATACAACCTGATGTTTTAGATTTTTATTATTATTACATTTTAATCAATGTTGCAACTGGTCCCATGGGTTGTAGCTGCCCACGTGCACGTTTGACTTTGTTCAACTTTAAATTCTGCATATATTATTATCATATACACTAAAAATTCTGGTTGCCTTACATTTTTAAGCTGAATCAAATTAACCTTATGAGTCTGTGGAGAGGTAAGCATGATCGAACACCCAATGAGGGGGGAGAGCATGCCCAGAGCCCGGCGGCTAATCAGCAGGCCAATCAGAAATAATGAATAACACCTGTTTATTCAAGTGATTGAGCCGGAGAGAGACACCCTTCTTAAGAAGAGAAGGAGCAGCCGGGAGAGAGGAGAGAGCGCACACACGTGTGTTGTAATTTAAAATCTAACTAGACAGTAAAGTTCGTCAAGACAAACTTTGAGGCTGGCTTGAGAAAGCCTGTTGGTAATAGTTTAATTAATAGTTAATAAAACATTTTTGCTCACCCGAATCGCCGACCCTGTCTTCTTCCCACAACAGCTTGTTTAACATAATTTTTTTTCAACACATTTCTAAATGCAATAGTTTTTATAACTTATCTCTAATACCTGATTTATTTGAACTTTTTTATGACAGTAAATAATATTTTACTTGTCATTTTTCAAGACGCCTCTATACAGCTTAAAGTGACGTTTAAAGGCATTTAAAAAAGAAATTTTCAGCGAAAGAGTTGTATTATTACCTCATCAACTTCAGCACCTTAAAATAATGAATGAATGAAGTGCAGTGGCGGAATTTTTTTAAAACCATGTGACAACAGTGCCACTTACACCTGCCGGTAGAAACAGGTACTGCTGAACAGCTGACGATTTAATTACCCGACACAAACGCGGAATGTTCGTGATGCATGAGGTAGGCCTAATTTTCAGTAACGTTAGTTAGATGACAATATAACTGTTATACAACATTTTTTTAAGTGCAATACATTCCAAAAGATCAGGGGCATTTGAGAATACATGGGGGCTTAATCTATTAAGCAATAACGTTAATTGCATTGGCATGTTTATCTGACGTTTTCCCAGTTTGTAGTAGTCGATTTAGTTTCTTATGACTAGACACTAGCAGTGGAATTTACTGTGATGTGACGGGGCGCCACCTGAAATCTTGCCTAGGGAGCCAAAGTGGTTAGGGCCGGGCCTGTGCACAGGTAGCCTACTTTGCTGTTAAATGCAAATTTTTTAAGCATGAAAGTGTGCAGGAAGCGACATGCTCAGCTGGGGAATGCCATGCCTCTAAAACGGCAGCTAGTGGGGGTGAAGCAAAAAAAAACCTGAAGTCTTTCCAGCATTATCATTTAGCAACTCCCCCCCCCCCCCCTCTCATCTGTCATCCTCTTTCTCGCTCTCTCTTTTACTCCCTTGGCCATTTGAGTGAGAAGGTAAGCCACAGGAATGGATGGGGAGAGAGAGAGAGACAGAGAAAGAGAATTTCATCTCATCGACAAAGAGTTTTGTCTGCAAGTAGTTCTCAACCAGTGCTCCTCTCAACGCGAGCTCTTCCGGCTAAAAGCAGATTGCGAGGCCTCAAATGGAGCAGTGGTCGTAATGTCGAGCGAAAAAAGAAAAAGAGAAAGACAGCTGTGAAACATAACCAGCTTTGTCTTTTTGTAGAAAACACACTTTAGATCTTTTATGGTAAGCGGTTTTTGAGTTATTGCCATCTGTCACTAAATGTGTCAGGAATATCGAAAACAAAACATTTCTGGCACCCCCTGAATGTACAGCGTTCCTAGCATTTGCCTATACTGCCTATGCCAGTGGTCGGCACTGCTCAGTCATTCAATGAATGCTGATTCAGATTGTTTGAGTTCATGTGTTTTAACCTTAATAATTCATTTGAAAAACAGAATCGTCTCTAAAGAGTCATTATCGTACTGGTTATGATTCACTGCAACGTAATTATAGCTGCAGCTATGTAACGTTGCGCGACCCACCTTTGTTCACTGTGTGACCCACAGTTTAAAAACCCCTGTTCTAATATAAATATATTTTTATTATATCATTTATATTAACAATGTATAATGTTTATTTTTATAACAGTTTTATTGTAATTTAATTTGAAAGAATGATTTACTAATTAATTTTAAAGTTTCAAAGAAGTAGTTTGGTAAAGGTTCAGTCTATTTTCAGTAAAAAAAATGTTTTCTTTAGTTTTTTAGGCCTGATAATTGACTGTTGCTTGTTCTTTTAATAGTCTGTATTTTGTAACAAAAATTACAACCTGATGTTTTAGATTTTTATTATTATTACATTTTAATCAATGTTGCAACTGTCCCTATGGGTTGTTGCAGCCCCCATGCACGTTTGACTTTGTTCAAGTTTCAATTTTGCATTATCATATAACAATTCTGGTTGGCTTACATTTTTAAGCTGAATCAAATTAACCTTATGAGTCCATTGAACTTATATTATGTTAAACTGACTTAAAACAGCTTGTTTAACGGAGATTTTTTTCAACATTTCTAAATGCAATAGTTTTTATAACTTATCTCTAATAACTGATTTATTTGATCTTTGTCATGACAGTAAATAATATTTTACAAGTCATTTTTCTAGACACTTCTATACAGCTTAAAGTGACGTTTAAAGGCCTTTAAAAAGAGATTTAAATGTGTGTGTGTAGTTTTAAGACAACTTTAATGAAAGGTTGTGATTCAATTAAAATGTTTACTATTGTGTGTGTATAGCGATAAGCGTCGACAACTATATTTGAGTTTTTACCTGTTTCTCAGCTGTAAATATGACAGGAAGAACATGGTGGAGCCAGCTAGGGGCCAAACTCATCATACCACCTTTCAAAACAGCAGCTCAGCTTAGCAAAGAAGATGCTGAGAAGACACAAGCCATAGCACTCCTTCAAATTCTTGTTGAGAGAGCCATCAGAAGAGTGACGGAGTTTCACATCTGGGACACCCCTGTACCTATGATGTATAGAAGAACTCAAAGTTGTCCTAAAACTATTGAAAATACATCCATTCTTGTCTTAAGAAAAATTTGAAAACTTTTTAGATCTACTTGTTGATTACTGTGTGTAACACAGTTACAAACTTATTCCCAAACTTATTTCAGCAGTATTAACATGTTATACATTTATTTACAGATCATGAGTCAAATGAAGTCTGTTGCCCTCTATTCAGATACTCATCCATGTACGTACAGATATAGTAAAGATCCAGGTTCCCTCTCATCAAATATTTTTTACATCGCATATTTATTATACATTTACATATTATACATGTATTGAAACATTTATTATTATATACGTTAGCTCCCTTATGTCTCTTAACGGTTTAAAAGAGCAGACGCTATGATAAAGGTACATTTTGCACAAATGTAAACAGCCTAAACCAGGGATTCCCAAACTTTTTTATTCCAGTACCCACCTAGGCAAGAAATTCAATCTCAAGACCCACCTTAATATTTTAGTAAAAAAATGTATACATTCAAAGCAGT